GTATAAATGCATGGCTACGTGCATAGCCTACGGCGTAGGTACGCACATAGACCCTACCCAGGAATATACTGTAAATGGGCCTTAAGAGGGACTCCGTGTCATTACGTGCCAGCCAACAATGGACGTTTCTGTAATGCAGTCAACAAGTAAAATGTATTCCTATAAATTTTAGATTGAAGAAATAAGTACATTGCAAAATTGATAGAAATCCTGTGTTCGTAATAACTGGTCAATATCATTTCACAGTATTTGGGGACAGAATTATTCCAAAGGTTTAGTAAAAGTTGATAAACCTGTTTTAGCGATTACTTATAAAAATAAAAAAAGGATCTTGCTGCTGAGCATTTTAGTCCTAATTTTATTTTATTTTATTTTATTTTATTTTTTATTTTTTGCCCAGCAGCCTGGTATGGAGTATGATGAGCTGGATACCATATTGTGCCAGACAGATTTTACTTTAACAAGAGAGTATTATTATACTCCTTTGTCTGTTTTAATATTTATTTAATTATGTATTTATTTGTCACCAGGCCGGACAGGGGGGCAGACATGGGGATGGGGGGTTTGACAGAAACAAAAAGTCTTTAAGAGAAACAAACACTCAGTAGCTGAAGAAACATTCAGGGAAATACAGTTCTACCACATGGAGGTCCCCTCCTTGGTAGGTAGATAGCGTTCAAGGATCAATTTCTTGAAGAAAATGTTATTGTTTTATTTTCACAGACTCCCATCATTGGCTTAGGGTAAATCCCTCCTTGTCCCTTCTCATTGGCTCACGGCTAACTCTGCCCACATCCTCGATTGTCTTCGTGGGGAGGGGTTGCTAACCGCTTTGAAACTTTACTTGTGTGGTTTGGCTGCTAAACCCAGATTATGGGTTCAAACTCAAACACTGGTCTCTGATAAAACCAGATCAACAGCTGGAGTCTGGGGTTATAGATAACTCTGGTCCATAACTGCTCAATAAGATTACCTGAAGATGTTACCGGCTGATAAAGCAAATCCTGGTTTCAGTTGAATGTTTACTTACTACCAGTTTATTTTTCCAAAGTCTGTAGTTCCAAACTCTTGTCTCCGGCTGATAAAAATAGGTTCCTGTTTCGAAAACGAACTCTGTCTGATAAAACCATTGTGTTTTTAGCAACCTCTGGGGTTATAGATAACTCTGGTCTACAAGATTACCTGAAGATGCTAATGACAGTTAAAACACACAAATCTACGTGCGTGATTGAGAAAACAGAGGGAGGGGTGGGTAGGAGGGATGGAGGGGGTGGAGCACATTCCTCAATTCACCCTGCACACTTAGCCTATGCTACACCAGAAAGAGAGAGGACAGAGAAGAAGAGACACAGACTCTAAAAGGTTTAAAGTTTTAAGATTCACAAGTTTTACAGCTTTTCACAAGAGTGATAATGATGGTAAGTTTGTTACACAAAGCATTAGCAAAGATTTTACAAAGTTTAATTTTGGAACTCGCTCTTATTTTGCTGCATGCTGTTGAAGGTAATTTACAATGCTCACCGTTATACTATTTTACTGCTTTACTGTAATAATTTAAATTTATTCTTTAATAATAAAGACTGCCTTGATTCCAAATCAATGAAGAAAGCCCCGGAGATTCCTCCTTTACTTATAAGTCACTGCTATACTATTTTGTACTGCTAAATGTATTGCCAATGACACCTACTAGTTAATTAATTCAAGTAAGTATCCGGTCCACTTCAATGTGTACAGCACAGTCCAGGAAGGCCAAACTGTTGTTGTGGACATCTTCTTGTGTGAACTTGATGTTAACATCCACAGAGTTGATGTGTTCTGTGAAGGCTTGCACTTCCTGGGTTTTAATTTTGACCCAAGTGTCATCCGCATACCTTTACCATTGGCTCTGTGCTGTTCCTCTGAAAGAGTTGAGGGCTTGGCCACACAGGTGATGGTGTTTTCTTTCTCTAGATGTTGTAGACATACTATGGCCTTTTTCTTGTAACCGCTGGTTGGGTCTCGCCTCAGTGTGTTTGTGTCCACAAGTAGTGTGTTTATGGAACCACCTGAAGGGGGCACTTATAGCCTGTGGATACCCTGAATGGACCTTTGTGCCAAAAGCCAGGAAGAAGACTAAAACTACAGGGGAGGAGGAAAAGAAGGTCAAACGCAACAACATTCCATACGTGTCTGGAGTGTCAGAGAAACTCAGGAGGATTTTCAACAAACATAACATCCCTGTGTTTTTTTAAACTCAAGAACACACTAAGACAGATACTCGTCCACCCTAAAGACCGCGCACCCAAACACAAGAGGAATAATCTTGTGTATCCGATCCAATGCAGTGAGGAATGCACATATTGGGCAAACAAACCACTAAACACTAAACAACCACTACACAAACGCATGGCTCAACACAGAGGACACTCCTATGAGGACCACCAGGTGCACATTTTAGACAGGGAAGATAGATGGTTTGAAAGAGGTGTCAAGGAAGCCATCTACACCCGGGTTGAGAAGCCGTTGCTCAACAAAGGAGGGGGTCTATGCCACCACTTATCCCCCACTTACAATGCTGTCCTTTCATCACTTCCCAGGAAACTGAACAAGCATTTCCACTTGGCCTCAGGTAAAGATGCCAACGATGATCGTTCAGACTTGGCCACAGGTAGTTTCTAACGACCATAACGACTGTCATTACAACAGCCAGGAGCACTAACGAACCAGCGGTATAAATGACCCTGGAAAACAACCCCACTGAGGTTAAATAGCTTAGTTTCCCTACTAGTCAGTCAGAACTAAAGAAGTCACAGAACAATACATGTTACAGATGTTCTCCTGGTCTCCCAGATTCCTGCAAATGTTATACAAAAAGACACATACAATGCAACTGGAGACTCAGGAGTTTTTTTAATTTAGATGTGAAACTAAAATTGTGTGTACTTTACTACACATTTTATCTCAGTTTACCAGCGCCTTTCTGTGCTCTGCGTAACGTCCAGTTTCCCTCATTAGCCTTGCAGCGTGTATACTGGCCCACATCCACTCTTTCCCTTCCTGATTGTCCAAAGAGTTTATGCCTTTGCATTCCAACCACCTGAACCTGTATGTGAACCCTAAACCTTGGAACCAGTGCCAGTCTCTTCTAAACCCTGCACCTGAAACCTGGACCTGCCTGCCTGGACAATCTGCATTTCAGTGGCCATATCCCCACATGACAGTGACTATTCCCTGCAGCCACAGGGAACCCTGATTGGAGAAAAAAATAGAAGCAAACAACACTAAACCAACATGTAACTTTGAGGGAGAGTAACACATTAGTGGGGATTAACACCAAAATTATCCTTTTTTTAAAACAGTGCTGGTGGCTGCGTTGGTGCGGGAGTCTTGTTTTAGGGGAGTTATAGATCAACAGTTTGTAATACTCACAGGATTTTAAAACTCTGGAAAGTTATCATGTGGGCAAATATTTTATCTTTTGTCATGATGAAATACAGCGTTCATGTTACACAGTAATCCACCAGGAATGTGCATTTGCACTTATTTGATTGACCAATGTCATGTTGTGTTGCAGCAACAGTTGAGCTGGGCTCAGCTTCTTACCCAGATGAACTTGCTTTGTTTGGCCAGAGCCCCCTGTGTTGCCAACCCCCGCTGTGACAGACTGGCTCCATTCAAATGAATGAGGTGTCCAAATCTTTTCACACTGCTCTCATGTTGGTTTAAATGCTGCCTTAAGGTACAGTCACATTTCTGTTCAACCCAGTTTTCCCACACTCTGCAATGAATGATCAACATCAGAGGAATCAAACTAGAAAAAGTGTGTGTCACATGCACTAAAATAATGAGCAAACACACATGGATAACAACTTCTTAATTCCCAAATGCAGCAGTGTTTCTATTGGTCTTCCAGGCACATCCGCCCGGCCAAAGTCTAAAAAACTCTGACCTTTGAGTCCAACATGGCTGGCTGGAGATCGAACCGAAACAGAAGGACATGCTGCACACCATTGCAAGTTTGCAATTCCACTCAGACAAAGAGGAACGAGACAAAAATCTCATACAGTACTTACATTTTATTGTAACTCAGAGCATGGGACACAAGACAAAGGTTAATTTGCGATGTGCACCCCGATGAGAAGTTCTTCACCTCTTTGATACCTTATCTCGTGTCTCCTTCTCTTCAAGCTCTTACCTGCTCTATGCTCCTGCAAGTGAATAGTCATTTTGAGAGTTTAATCTGTACTGAAAAACAAAAGCACACATACATCTCCAATTGTTAAAAATTAGCAAACCCTCTGCTAATTCTCCCACCGGCCATGGCTTGACCTTTTTTAGTGACATTCAATAACATTCCCACGAGACAAGACCACTTCTCTCAGAGGCACCTTTACACAAGAATCAAAACATAGTGGAAATTAAAAATGATAATGCATGCAGTAAAGGTATTCAAACATGTGCAACAAACGTGTAATTTGTACACTCACAATAGGCTTCAATAGAAGTGAAAAGGAAACAGAGCAAATATTCAGAGGACAGAAACAGAGGTGTGAACGGTGAAGCCCCGACAAGAAGGATGTGAGAACAAGTTTGTAAGTACCTGATAAGTGTAGCACAGCCCCCAACCCGCTTTCTCTTTGTTCTTGGATGGTTTCCCCGACCGTCTCCACTCTGTTGATAATGTGAACAATTGCTGTCCTCAAAGGAATCCCCATTTTCCTTTATTGGTAAATAGCTGAGGCTGTGTCATTTAATTTTAAAATGACCATGTCCCTGGTGGTGTTTTCTGAGTTTTTTTTTCCAAAGTTTGTCATCCACATGTAAACTCCTAAACAACAGATAAACAGAAGTTTCAAACAGAAGTCTCTCCAGGTGGGCATCTGGTGCCTCTTCAATCAGCTGCATCATGCCAATTGGATCAAGTGAGGTTGTTTTACAAGATGTTAAGATCTGAGTGTGCCAGCAAGTTGAGGTTCATCAGATCACATACCAGATTCACACCACACACCCAGCATAAGATCAACTTTCTCAAATTGTATAAATCATTTTTAATAATTATACAATAGAATATAATTCTAAATAATAATCTTTCAGGAGAGTGTAGGTACCTGTATTAATATGGGAAAGCTTGGCCTTATTACTGGTTGAAATTATTTCCCAAAATGTAAACAATTAAAGGACAACAGTAAAACCATTCAAAGCAAGAACAAAGACAATTCTCATGTCATTTATATACAATATTTTCAACCACAAAAGCTACAGCAGGTTACATGGATATATACGGCATAATGAGAACAGGTTTATTACACAACTGAATGCACTCACTCACTAAAATCAATGTAAAAAATTTTTTTATGAATAACAGCTTGCCATTTTTAAAAAGAAACCCTCAGTTGGGGACCAACTTAAAACTTCCTAGTATTTGTTAAAATATTTTTTTGCAAGTGAAAGCTCAAGCAACACATTCTGCATTAGTTTCACTGGTGATATCGGGGACTCAAATTATTTGGTCATAAGCTCCACAAACATTACTTTCTTGCATCCAAGGAAGTTTAAATTCAAGGACAACTGGACAACTGTCAAATACCTGGGACTCCCTGCCAGTCAGTAAGAAGTGAAGAAGCCTCTTGGATAAGAGGCGTGTAGTAATAAATTATGGACTATGTGCAGAAAAACAATTGTAAACAGTCACAAGTTTAAAGGAATGATTAGTTTGATAAAATGTTGACGACACAGCTCACATACTTAATTGTCACTGTCAAAAACATATTTTCATTTGGTTGTTGTTGCCAACAAAATCACGAGCTGTAAGGAGAATCAGCTGTGGAAAGTACTTATTGGAGCACTTTTGAGTAAACAAAGACGGGAGATAACGCGAGATAAGGATCCATTAGATACAAATTCCTTTTGCTTTGCCAAAGAACTTTCAGGAACACTCTGCACATGGGAGAGAGACAGACTAAAGGAGGAGTTGGGGAGATTGTAATCACTAAGGTTATCTAAACTAATGTAAAAGTCATATAGACATGCAACACAGAATGTAAAGCTGGACCCGTGAACCCACATGTTCACAAGGAGGTGGCCTCAGTTAAAGCTTTCCTCAAGTATATGATCAAGAACTGTTTGGAACTGGGAATTTAAGGTTCAGATGTACTCACTATTAGAATTATATAGCAATATGTTCATGTTAAGGTGTGTATTTGAATTGAATGTAATATGTTTTCTTCATCTGTGTTTCTATCAAATTTATAAGGTTACTGTAGGCAAACAGCTTAGAGGCTGCAGGAAACTGGGGAGGGTCCCCAGAATTTGATCCAAAAGGATATTGCACAATGAAAATGAGGTGATACTTGTGTTTGTGAACTCAAAGAATTGAAGGAAAAGTACTTAGGAGATGACGCAGTTAGAAATCCACCATGTTGCATACGTGGCTGTAATTTTGGGGGGTTTATATTTGAGTTAACAAGGAGTGGCCGTTAGACTTGATTCCAGAGAGGGGGAATGATGAGCCTCCGGCAAAATTGGGGTTAGTAATCTCTCTAAGAATTAGGATTTAATCATTGAATCATTTAATATCAGGATGATGTAAAGTTTAATGTCCAATGATTTTAGAAGGCTAATCTGAGTGAATTTGAGGGTTTTGAGTAATCTTTAGGATATTGGTAGGAGATTCCTTTGAGGAGGCTAAAGTGATCTCAATTGCAATTAATTTTCTATTAACTTCTATAAATTAATGTAATCTGTATTAATTGTCATTTTCATATTTTGTACCTTTTTCTTATATAAATAAATTATTGAAAAATCTAAAGATACAGACTTGTCTCTGGTCTATCGTTGAGGGAAACCCAGCCAAGGAACAAAACCCCACATCATCAAGTATCTTCAACCAAGTCTATTTGCCCTTAATTTGAACCCTTCTTGGATAACTATGACCCGGATGACTAAGAATCTTCTCAGACATAACACACAAGGTCTGGTTAAAACCATTAAAACAAGGGTAGGCAATTTATTCCAGAAGCATTTTTGTTATATTTGTTGAATTCTCTGTGCATCCCGACAGTCGTCAATAAATCAAATGCTCTGACACATTTAATACTTGGATACTTTTAAAATCTAGCTACTCCAAGTTGCCAACCCTAGCTTTAAAGTTTTAATTAGCATAATAAACATCTGAGAAATGTGCCACTGTTAGTTGGATAATGATGACAAAGGTGAAACAAGCGTGAAAGATAAATGGATGACTGTCTTCGATGAAAAATATTCAGTTACTTTGTACTTGTATTATAATTTTAAAGAGATTTTTTGTTGTATTTGTTCTTCCGCAAACCTTTTGCTGCTTTGAACCTATACACTGCCTGAGTCACCAACGCACCACAGCATGAAAAAGGCAAGAGAGAGGAGTGCAGTCCCTAGCAGGTCTCCGAGGGCTGTGAGGTAGGGTATTGAGTAACTGTCGGGGTCTTTACCCCTCCGCCATAAACAGTGTACCATATAGTCAGCTGTACACAGCAGGATGAAGACCTATGAGAAAGACACAAGTGATATTGTAAAACAGTGATTAAGTATGCAGTGGGAAAATTACCACCCCAGCTCTGACTCACCTGAATTAGGGAAGCAGACAAGAAGGCGACTGTCAAGAGAGGACTGGGCAAAGTGTTGCCTCCTTTAATCAGGTGAATAGCGTATAGGAAGACGAGCTGACCAGGGATGACCAAAAGAAGCAGGACCTGAGCAGATCGATGGTTTGCTCCTGCCATGACAAAGCTAAACATCAGCTTGTGTGTGTGTGGTGTGTGTGTATTAGGTGAAGGGGCAACAGACTGCCTTTATGTAAATGTTTTGGCCTTTTGATCTTTACCTGAACCAAAGAAAATGCGGCAAGGGCTGTAGCACCTCCTACGGTCTTCAGGAACCTCTCCAGCTGAGTAATTCAAATGCAAATTGGTAGAAATACGACTAGACTGTATTGAGACGAGGTTTCCTCCAATACCTGAATAGGAAAGAAGAGGTGGGGGCAGGGTGAACAGTCTGACACGTGGAATTAACAACAAAGGTAGGATATGCATAGAAAAACTAAAATGACCACCATGTTTGTGATCAGACCTTTTACATGTGGTATCATGATGCTCAACCTCTGACCTAATCCACATAGAAAGGAGGAAGACCACCAATTGGGGTTGCAGCAATGTAATATTCAGACTTGTACTAGAAACTTGGCACTGCTATATTTATTTTACTTTGCAACAAGTAGAAGCAAAAGCAGCATGAAACTAAGTGTGCCCATAAACGCAGTCCTAAACATGCCAAAAAAGAAAGTATGCCAATAGTGGGAGCAGAGTTCCCGACTGGTTAACAGATTACGCCACCAGGATCCAAATCGATGCAGCAGATCCAGAGAAACATTTGTCTTCCTTCTGTGAGAAAGGTTTATATATATATATATATATATATATATATATATAAACCTTTCTCACATTGCAACTCAACTACTGATAGTCTAGGTCCGACACTCGGGTACTCCTGAGACCTACAGTATAATTGACTTTGATGTGTAAAATTGGTGACATTCCCCTTTAACTTATCTTGACCTCTGAACATCAACGTGCACCAGCTGGAGCTAGTTCTCCGAAGGCTATTGCTGCGCCACTTAAAGTCAGATTTCCTACTTGTGAACTCAGAGAAAAAATATGTACCCTGACTTCACGAGTAGCAGCTGAATGACGTCACAAAACAAAGTCAGCACCCATGGAAGCACACACTGTAAATAGTAAACCATAAACTAGAAGGCAACAAAAAGTATATTTGCATGCATTTAAAAAAAGAAAAATACATATGATCATAAAACCTGTTCAGCATGTACATTAATGTAGAAATATGTTAGGGTATTTGGTAGCTGGATGCAGTAAACAATCTGATAATTTCATCTTCTCTGCATAAAAGTTATTGTTAAAACTGCCAAAAACATTAGGAAGTGTAACCTACAACACTGACTGACTTGAGAATTACCAACTGATGTAGCTAGAGGGGTACCCAGTTAACTAATAACATATAAGCTATTTATGTCCGTTGTTTGCATTTAAACTGCCATCCTTTTGATTAACACCTAAAGCACTGCTGAGGGTGCAACTGCGTGTACAAGTTGTCACAGTCAGCCATGGTTTTCGTTCACTTTCGGCGTCATGCACCACCGTGCAACTGGAATGCTTTGAGGTTGGAAGTTGGATATTTCAACTTGGAAATTTCCCAGTTCCAAGTAGAATGGAACGCGGCATTAGTCTTCCTTTTCAATGACCTAAGGCACAGACATCTGATGAGCTTCCCGTCTTGAGACAGGACCTCAACAACATGTGTTTTTAAGCTCATTCTTAGAAAATTCTAAACAGGTGTGATCTCCTGGCCATCTCTGCTAGAAATTTCAATCAGGAATTTAGACAAGCCAATTGGAAAGTGAAAGGATGGTGATTTGTGTATCAACAAATACTAGACAAATATCTAAATCTTCTCAAAATGTAGCCCATAATTCAAAAAACCTCTTTCAAAAGAGGATGACTCACCATTTATGACTGGAGCATAAACTAGGATTCCTGCCAGGTTTGGATCTGACACAGTCTTGTCCAGAATAAGTCCCCCAATGCTAAAAGGAAGACAACCAAAACATGTTTTTAGAGCTATCTAACGTATTCTGCATGCACTACAACACATTAAGAGGCTCAACATAACAACCTTAAGCGTGATGTTGCACTGACAGAGTAACCAAAGAGAAAGCCTTCAACATCTTTCTTTTTTATTGCATGTGTATGTAAAACCTTTTCTTAAAAGGAATATAACACAGTTTGGATAATTATGGAGCCCTTTTGCTTGTACTTCTGCTAGCTGCGCCGTCACATCATATTTAAATAATTTTAATTTGTTCTAAGGAACTTTTTTCTTTGAAACTGTTTGTTTGTCTTGCTAATTTGTTAATAAAAAACTCCTGTACTTAATGACATTTGTGCAATTTTAGTAGAGCAAAGGGTTGACATAATATAGTCTGGAATATGTACAGTAGTTATGTGTGTACAGCATAGTTCAGTATGTAGACAACAATGTAGTTTAAAGCTAGAGTAGGCATTTTATTTAAGTTGTGTCATATTTTTATGTTATACAGTCATGGGAAGGAGAAGATTAACATTTTACTTTAAAACTCAAGGCCTGGACCTTTTAATGCCAAGGAACAAGTTAAAACTATAGATTTACTAGATTTATAAACTTGAAAATCAACACATCATCTAAGTGTAAGGTCCAGAGTACATGTCCAAGCTTTTGAAAAAATGAAATGAGAGTGAGGTTAATACCTGCTGATCACCATTGCTGTAATGATTGGTTCCCAGCCCATGCGGAGCAGGATGTGACTGGCTGGATGTTTGGAGGCGATGACCACCCAAAGAGGAATCAGGCACAAAAATAACAGATCCACCAGGTACAACACATAGGGATACAAATCTGTCAAGAGACAAGCTCATTGTTCATACATTTACTTTCAACCAGAAATCGATATAAAGCAATGTCAGGTTTCTGATCTCTCTGGGTTAGTTCCAGGGTCACAAGTACCATCTGTTGGCCAAAAGTGAAAATTACATGACCGGCCAGCGCATTAGTCTTCACTCTTCAGGTGTGTGTTACAGATTCAAATTGGCCTACCAGACCATCTTGTTGCCCTCATTTCTTTTTACCTAAGAAGGAGTAGAACCACTGACTGAAGCAGGCCAGCAAGGCGAGAGTGATGAGGTCCCCAAAGCTGGCTGCCATGGGTGTAGCCACGTGTCAGGGTTGATTCCCATCCGTT